TTTAACAAAACTGTTTCTCCAGTTTTGTGGACAGAGTTTCTAGTTAAATGTTATATTCAATATATCTTGAATCTTTAATAATAATAATAATAATAATAACAACGCCATAGAACTGCCAGTTGGTAATTGAAGTAAAGTAGCTTTGATTTCAAAGAAGCCGACATTGAAGTCGATTGGCAAATGAACCATCACAAAAGAGGAAGGCTCTTATTGTCTCACTGCACCCAAGAGATGCATAACCGACAAAAACCATTTCTGCCTGGTTTCGAACCAGAGACCTTTTGTGTGTAAAGCAAACGTGATAACCACTACACTACAGGAACTGTACTTCACTGCTTTGTTTCAGTTTGAGGTTCCAAAGTTGATGATGTGAGATGCAACGCATGAAAATTTCAACTGAGGTTTGCACTCAGATGCCTGGATTCAGAGTACCGACCATGACACCACAGACCCTTGTTGACCTTTAGTAAACACCTGTGATGAAGAGAACATGCAAAATCTGTTTCTGTCTGGTTTTGAACCAGAGACCTTTTGCGTGTAAAGCAAACGTGATAACCACTACACTACAGAAACTCAGGCTCTTTGCAGTGTTCCTGGTAGATGATCCACATTTTGTTAGAGACTAACGTCAACGATGGGCATGGAACAATGTCAAATACTTACAGATCCTCTCAGAGAGCACAGTAACTTGGTGAACAAACTGTCAGACTTATACTTGTGCCTAATTTCACATTACAGTCCATAAATTAAGCCTGGGATCAAAAAAAAACTGTATTGAAGATGTCATTAGCAGAGACAAATGGTTCTACAGAGAATTGGCTAAATGGCTAAAAAATAAAATCAATACTTACAAATAAAAAATGGTTAGGAAGCAAAATTCAAACCTTTGGTTGAATTCAAGTCTCCATTACAGATCAGAGAAAACTAAAGAGAATGCAACGTTGTGTTAAACCATTTGAGAAGCCGGTAGTTTATTTGGAGCCTTCTGGGTTCACGTTACCCAGGAGAGCGGCGCTCTGGAGGAGCTGCAGACGCAACATCTGTCCGTTTCGGAGAAGC